CAGTAAGGTGTACATGCATAAAAAGTAATTTAAAACATTAAAGGTGTGTTCTTTGTTTCAAATGTTTCTCAACAACTGTATTTGAAATTAGGGGAAAGCACACATGAAGTATAACGAATTAGAACGTACTTTCAGGACTGATGTTCCCCCCTAGAGATGAAAATGTGACCTTAAACGAGCACGCACAACACCACATGGTGGGCTGTGAAAGTATCCTGGTATAAAACCTTGTTGGGGCCTTTTAGTAATGAGCTTGCAAGTATGCTTTAGGTCCCCCAGCTTCCTTCACTAGCACAAAGACATGCATATGAAGTTAAACGGTTCATCTAAAAGATTCCGTCGATGTGAGGTAAACAAAGTGATTGAAGTGTACAGAGAAAAAAGGTAAAGTATGAATGTGTGGTTGTGTGTGGATTGAGGGGTCAGCAGTTCATTCCACAGTTGCATAGCAGCAAATGAAATAAAGACTTACTCATATTATTAGCACTGCTAAATGTATAAAAGAACTGTTAAAACTTTGCACATGGTACATATCCCTCAATCTATGTGTGTTTAAAATGACCACAAAAAGCTGCCATACGTGTGTCTGATGGAGTCTGGTGTGTGTACTCTGTGGTGGGAACACACGGGCAACAATGCAGACAGGAGAGGGGTAAATAGTGGCCCAGCAGCTCTTTTTCCCCCCTTGGGGGCCTTTAAGAGGTTAATCCAGCTGGAAACCTTTGCATTGGGACCATCGCAGCCCACCTGTGAAGGAAAGGTGCAGCTGTAAGTAACAACCTTAATGGCTGCAGCTCATGTTGTTGTCAATGCTTCCACGCAGCATTTCTGTTTAATGTGGCACCTGTGCTTTTTCTTGGAAGTGCAGATATGTGCCGGGGAAATTGGTTACAGCACACTTTTCTTGTGTGATCACGGTTTATGGATGGCGTGGTCGTTGCTGGCATATCAAAGGCACGACAAGGTGATGAAGCAAGACATCTGGGAATGTTTAGAAGGCTGATTTCTTTTCATCCCCGTCGCACTCGCCGACTTCAAACCAGTCAGGCCTCTGTGGTCATCCCGTGGCGCTCCACGTCTGAGGAGCACCTGTTTCTTGAGTGAGTGCAACGCCACTTATAATGAGGTTATAATGGAAATGAATAGGAGGGAGATCTTTCAAAGAACAGCTTAGGTGATTTATTCACTTTTTAGCATGTCAGATGTGATAAGAGCAGTAAAAAACAGGTTTTTCGTGCTAGAGAGGTCGCAGGTTATCCAGACTGCTAATGGGAAGCTGGAAATTTTCAAATGTAAAGATGTTTGCTCATCGTGTAAAGGTTATTCCGATTTTTTTTTTTTTAGCTGATCAAAAGGTTGTAGTGTGATGTTTTGATCCCGCACAAGGTTAGCCTTAATGTGAGATCAGCTGACCCACAGCTGGGGCCTTTAAAGCACAAAAAGGAGGAAACATTGAAAACTAAGTGTCCAAAACATCAAAGGAACAATTATATTAGTTCTCTGTGCCTCCAATTTTAAGGTAGAGTATGACTACCATTGTTCATTAAACTTTTTGTGTTTGCTTTGGTAAGTGTTGCCATTTTTCTCGTTCCCTCACCCCAACTGTGCACAGCTCCCTGAACCTGCAGGTTTCTTCCTGTTAAAAGGGAGTTTTTCTTTGCTGCTGGCGCCAAATCATCACCCGTATTATTTTAGGACCTCTAACCTTATAATATGAAGCTTGTTGAGGTGACTGATGTTGCGTTTTGGTGCTGAATAAGTAATCAGAACTTGAATTTAGAACATGTTGCCTGTAAAATAAAGTGTAGGCCTAATAAGCTCATAAGCTTAAATCTCCACATTTTTTCAGTCTTACTTTTTTTTTTTTGAAAAACAAAATGCTCATAAAATCACCAAAATCAACATTTGGGGAAAGCTGGTCTTTTGCCAGAAACTTGAGGTTGTGGGGCACCTCGCAGCTGTGTTTGTTCTATTTGCAGCTACCTTTTAAGAGAAATAATACAAATAGTGAGTGATTTATATACACAGTGATGGAGATAGATGGGTCTGCACTTCACGTGCCTGTCTGTAATCATTACCGGCAGAGCACGGCCGCTCTCGCAGCTCTTCAAAGTGCTGTTTTTGTATGAACAGCACCGACACTAAGCCCTGAAGAATTTCTGTTAGCTTTGCAGACAAGTTCCCACTCGCAGCCGTGAGGCGAGCGCCAGAGGTTGCCAGAGGTTGCTGCAAGGTACTCCGGTGAAACCCGCAGGAGCTGCGATGGGCTGCGTGTGGAAGAGATCTGAGGGGCATATGTTTAAAAATAAAATAAACTGAAAGGTCAGCGAGCCTCCTGCAAACACAGCATACAGCCGGACTGTGTTTGCTGTGTTTTTTGGTGTTTCCGTCAAAGTGCCGCAAATCGGCCGGAATCCGCGCAGACTAATGCCGGGTAGTCCTGAAATAGCAGCGGGATGTTTACTCTGTATCGTCCTTGGAGAGCTCAGACACGCTGAAAAAATTTACCGGCCGCCTCACCGCGCCGTGTCCTTCCGCGCATTCCACAGGCTGGTGGTACAACAAAGTAGGCCCGTTGCCTCAACGACGCGGATCCACTTGCTGTGACTCTAATGTGCAACAACACGTGATTATAAATGTTAAACAGAGCCAGAGAGGCGCTCTGTGTCAAAACAGAGGCTTCTTAATGAACTACAAGCAACTGGGAAACATTAGGGATGTATATCCTTGAAGCTAAGAGCTTATTATTACGGTGTTGATGCATTAATGTGCAGGGAGAGCGAGGTGGTGCTTGTTCCCGCAAATATACGTGCTTTTGGTTGTGCTTTAACAGCATTAAGTTGAAAAAAATAAAGAGGAAGTCTTAATTTGAAAGGTAACTAGTAAATATTGGTGTCAGCTAAAGTGAAGAAGTGTGAAAAAAACTGCAGTATGTCACTCTTATTTTGAAGTAGACAAGTCCAAGTGGCCTACACTCTCAATGTGTGTTTCAGCGTAGTCACTTTCCATTACTGCTTTGTAACATTAGGATTTACAGCTGGCGCTACAGTAAACTGCACAGGGCCGTGGTTTTGGTTACAGTCAGCCTATATGAGCACAGACAAAATGAGGGTATTTCTGAAAACAGGACTGTTTATACTGTTGGTTTGGCTTGGTGGTCATTTCACAGTTTAAGCTTGTGCCAAGCCACAACCACATGAATACGTGTGTATCCAGAGCTCCATCACAACGCTAACCTAATGGCTAGAAGCGCTTCGGGGCAGGTTAACCCTCTCAGGGGCCCCCAGGGTGGGGGGGGGGGTCCTGTTTATGCTTCTCCTGGAGCCAAGTGTATTAGTCAGTGAAAGTCAAAAAACAGGCCAATTATAAAATAAACTAACATATTAAAGAATAAACGAAGACTTAAATGAAGCTAAGCAAGCATGAACATGTGCCCCTGTTTTACCACCTCATGTGCAATAGTCCTGTGGGGATGCATTTAGACCTCTTTACTTTGTTGAAATGTGATTTTTGTCCCCCAGAAAATGTGTGATTTGACCTTTAAAACACTGTAATGTACAACAATGTCACTTCCGTGGACTCATACACCAGTGCTAAAATGATCTAAGTAAAATTACTCCTTAAGTTTTTACCACTTAGCTACATTTTGAAAGCAAATATTGAACTTTTTAAACCAGAACATCTCTTTGGTAGCTTATATAAAACATATAAAGTAAGTAGTGAATTTTAGTGTAATAGCTGAAGCTACAGTTGAACAGCCTGAATAATTATGTTTACACCTACCTAATGAATTGGTACTTATTGTTTGAATAAACCATTATTTTTTTATGCATTGCTGCATGACTGATGTAAGCACAAAGATTAAACTAAGATGAATTGAATCCTATTTACTTTATTGAATTTTATTTTTCAGGAAGTGTCTAATTTGAGCATTAAAACGGTGCAGTTGTAGAAGTACGTGATTTTACTGGACTTAAACCCCAGTGGTGAACAAATAAATACAAATTAACTAAATTTTTAAGGCAAATATTGCTCTCTTTTTAAAAGAGCAGATCTCTTTGGCAGCTTATGTAATCAATAATAAAATAGTTGACTAAGTTTAGGTAGTATATCAAGCAGATCACTAGCAGCCAGAATAATTATGTTTGCACTTTAATAAATCACAGCCTATTGTTAAAATAACCTTCTTTTTTTTAAAAAAAAAAGTAGAGCATAGCTATATGACGGATTTAAGCGTATTTTATTGTCCAGTGCTTATAATGTAAATGCAGTGTTGAATTGTGGAGCTGCTCCCTTGACCTACTCTGATGACTACTTCCACCACTTTAGACATTACCTCAGTGGTTCCTAAGGCCTTGGGTGAGGCTGAAGTCTTCATTTAAAAAGTCAGAAACTGAATAGAAACATTTTTCAATCTATTTTGGTCTAAATATTTAGTTACAGGAAACTTTAAAACAAAAAAAAAAACAGTTTTGGCTTGGCTCGATTATTTTTAAGTGTTCTTTTTATATTATTATGATGTTTATTAAATGTTGAGTATGTAGTTGTGTAGAGACGGTCTCGCTGGCGTTATCCTCTGTGGAGTTTTGCGTTATGAATGACGACACAGCATGTCTGGTAAAAAGGTGTTCCGGCCTTGTTGGGGGATACAAGCCGCCGTTTAAAATGCGTTAAGTCGAACGCACCACTCACACGCAGTGTAACGGTCGCGATGTTCCGCCTTCAATATAAAAGCCGTTAAACTAACGCTTTCAACACGGAGGCTATCAAATCCGATTTTGTGGCGTTGTAAACTACAAAATTGCACTTTAAACGTTACTCGAAAGCATTGTTTCGTATCTGGGACAAACCCATGCTACAAAGGAGCTCCTGTTATCCTCTTGCTTGAGTAAAACATAACACGTATCTGGAGAGGTTTATTTAGAAAAAAACGTAACCGGAACTAGCTTGGTCGCGCTTTCGTTAGCCTGACGACATTGTGGGCGAAGGGGGAGGTAAGTAATTATTTAGGGGGAAGAAAGAAAGAAACAAAGTTGTCGACTGTGCAGTGCTCACGGGGAGGGATTTTTATTTATCACGAGCGGCTCTTTTAGTCCTGCACCGGCCTGCTGGGGGTTGATTCGAGTGTAACGGCGCGCCGGTTTTCCCCTCAGTTCCTGCTGTCCTCCCAAACTTCCCCGCTGCTTTCCTACCGAGTCCCGAACAGGATTTCTCTTTTGAAAACGGGAATGATAAAAGGAGTCGAGCACAGGCGGATGGACGGAGGAGTGTAAAGCCAGTGCGGTGTGTGCGCTTTCCGTTGGCTCGCTTACAACTAAAATACGCCTTTTCTGTCATTATTTTCCCTCCTCCGAGTAACTTTCCCCCCTGAGATGAATGGCAGAAGTCGGGTGAGTCGACTATCTGCGAACAAGCGGATTTCTGCTTTTCTCGTCTACACTGGACCCACATGAAGAGGTGATAGCCTGCATCCTGCTGAACCTCTCTCTCCCTCGCTCTCTCTCTCCCCCCGCTTTGTGCTTCGTTAAGAGGAAATTCAAACCCCAGACTGGAGGAGATCCGCGATAGCAGCCCGAGACTTGGCTCGAGTGTATTTAAGTCTTCTTTTTAAAAACTTTAAACAGAGACCATGCAGCTGTGGAGCCACATGAGGGTCCACAAAGGAGGCCCTCTGCGATCATAGGTCCACGCAGAAGTCTCCTGGATGTCTGTCTCTCCCGTTTCCTGGCTGGATTGAATTGTGTTAGTAATTTTTTTGTACTCCAATGGATTCTTCCTCACCACAGCCTACCTGTACCTGTGGATTTACCACATGAGGGCAGCCAGGTGACTCACAGGACTCAAGTCATGTAACCACCCTGTAATGTCTTAAAAGTTTTTATTTATCTGCTCTTTTTTTGTATTTATTGTATCTGTATAGAAGGGGTCCTGCTTTTGTTTTTCTTTTGTAGCTTTGAACTAGATTCCAGGCCAGTTTTTTAATTTCTTGTTACAGATTTTATTGTAGCCGTCACAAGGGAATAACTGTAGATTTCAGTCTTTGTTCTGCTGTACGTCCACTCACACTGTATTTGAGTGCAGTACTCTGTAACATTTAAAAAAACAGAGAGAGGGGGGAGTTGCTGTAAGACTTGACTTTGCCCAGGCAGGTGTGTGTGTGAGAGGGAGCACAGGAAGGCTTAATCATGGACAGGCCGATAAGCAAGCTGCTGGAGAAGCTGAAGCTAACGGACTCGGGGAGTGTGAAATTCAACGTGTCGAAGAAAAAGCACGACTCCTCCAGCAACTCCAATAACAGCAACGCCAACACCGGCGTCCCTGTGGGCGGCAGCGGAGGAGGGGGCAGCGTTCTGCCGCTGGCTCCCAGCTCTGCAGCTGCCTCGCCCGCAAGACCTGGCCAGTTCCCGCTTGCCTCGGCAACCACAAGTGATCCATGTGTGCCAGCAAGTGGGAGAGGAGGAGGAGGCGGCACAGGAGGAGCAGGAGGAATGGGGTTGACTTCCTCTCAGCTCCTCACCACACCATCTACTTCCTCCACAGTGGGCACCATCCCCCCAGATGTTGAGCAACCACCTCACCCCTCTACCTTGGCACCGCTGAGGCGTCCTTCCTCTCAGCAGCGGGCTTCCTGCTACCTGGGTGAAGGTGTAGATTCCCACCTTAGGCGTGAGTCCGGCCTGAGTCCCGAGTGCGACCCCATGGGAGCGTTCGGCTCCAAGGTGTCCCTCAATCAACGTCGATACTCATTGGAGCTTCAGCAGCTGGTCCAACGACAGCAGCTCCTGTCCCAGCCGCCTCCACTCTCCGTCCCGCCACCATACCCTGCTGCATCGGGATATGGATCGGCTCCCAGAGGCGGCGGAGGCGGCTTGGCTGAGCCCGGCTACCTCTCTGAGCCTGAGCGGCACAAACGCCTGTCTCTCCAGGAAACCCTGTTCTACAAGCGGCTGAGCACAGGCAACGATCTGTGGGAGAGCACCCGGCCGGCATCCCTCTCTCATCCACCACATCGCCCATCTGATATGAGCGGAGGAGGTGTAGGAGGTGGAGGCCTCTTTTACCCGCCAGGGCCAACCCTGAGTCCGTGCTCATCCTTCAGCTTCCAGGAGTCTGTGCTGGTCAGCCCCAGGTCCAGCTTTGCCTCCAGCACGGCCAGCGGAGGAGGAGGAGGGAGTCCCATGGGGAGCCGCTGCAGCAGCAACCGGACCAGTGGCATCAGTCTCGGCTACGACTTGCGCTATTCTGCATCCGGAGGCCTCCCTACCCAGCAGCAGTCCCCATCTGTGCCGACCGGAGGCTCTGCAACTGGATACGGAGTCCCGGGCAGGGCCGGAGTGACCTCCGTAGAGGCCTGGACTCAGTACCTGGAGGCAGGGATACGTTCAGGTGTGTACGATAGCCGTCACTCCTACCCGCCTGCGGTTGGGAGTCCCGCAGCAACGTGTTATCAGACAGCTCCAGATTGGTGGGAAGAGCAGCAAGCGGGCATACGAGGCAAAGATCCAGGCACGATGGGAGAGAGGGCCCGATACTCAGACCTGCCCGGCACCCGATACCAGGAAGAGCTGACCCGACTTCTGCTGAGAGATGCTGCGCTGGAGGGCGATGGGCTGCTGGAGGGCCTGATGCTGAAGGAGCAGGCTCTCAGCCTCACGCCTCACGCCAAATCGGGCGTCACGCCAGCAGGAGGGCTGGCCAAACCTCAGGAGGAGCCAGGAGCCTTGCCTGGGAGAGAGGCAACAGAAAACCGGCAGGAGTTCTTTGGTGAGATCCTTATTTTTTTTAAAAAATTTTATAAATTTATTTTGCAAAACAAAAAGTAAAAGAAGCAAATCAGTGGGACTGGATGGAGATGGGCAGCTGTGTTTAACTTTAAAAACAGTAAAATCACATCCCTAACCCGAGCCAGCAGCCTCACTGCTCATCCGTCCCCACGGCGTCCGCCCCTCACTGTGTTATTACTGTTGTCCTCACCGCCTGGTGTCGGATCACAGGTTTCTCTCTAAATGAAAGGGTTGTATGGATGGATGGACAGATTAATAGTTGAAAGAGTGTGTATGGATAGGTGGATGGTGCCACAGAACCTGCAGAGACATGCAGGGTCATAACACACAAAGCATTAAAGGAGTGGAGAAGGGGAGGGGGGAGGAGGGGAAAGAAAAAAAAAACATCAGCCAGGCTTCAGAAACCGAGATGCAGACAAGTAGACGTGTTTGACCGGAGAGAGGAAAGAAAATCAGTGCGCTAAAAGTTACGCACGGTTGTCAGCTGATGTTTGCACATCTTGCCAATTTGCCACAGTGGTGGTGCGCACAGAGGGCTAATGCAGCGGATCTGCACGCCGATTAAAGTGCAAAATTCTGCTGTAACACTCAGACATAAATTACATGGTTCCATATAAACACAGCTCCAGCCATTACTGAGTCACACAAGATTAGGGCTCCAGTTCTCTCAGTGTGCCAGTGTGTGTGTGTGTGCGCGAGCGTGTGTGTGTTAGGATGGCTAGATGAATGTGCGTATGTCTCTGTGTGTATATTGTTTCTTTGTGGCAGGGGGTGTCCCCCCCCCCTTTGAGTGACTTCAGGCCACAGTAACGCAGTGTGTGTGTGAGTCATGTGTATATGTGTGTGTGTGTAATGCTGCCTTGGCGTGTGCAGGGGTGGTGTGCTGTAGCCTGTTTTTCAGCTCAGGTATGTGTGCCTGGAGGGGACATACAATACTGTATTCCTCTCAGCCATTAGCGAGGAATCAGAAGCTCTGAGCCGTGAAGACAGACGCCCTGAGCTCAGCTCGGCAGCACACACCTGTGTTCAGGTGTAAAGCTGAACAAAATTAAAAAAAAATAAACGCAGTAATAATGAAAAAAGAAAGTAAAAATGGAAGAAGAGGAACATAAACTGAACAGATGTCGATTTATAGCTTTTAAGCTTCACTGTTTCATGCTCATTTTGTACATGCTCAGAGTTTCCAGCATGGAGGGCGGCATGTGTGCGAGTGTGTGAGCCAAAAGTTCAGGCTGCTATAAATGCATTTCAGCGAGTGTTATTTTATTTTAATAGGATGTGGCTCAGAGCATAGAAAGCTTCTGTTTGTCAGGGGCAGTCAATCAGAAAAAAGCAGGAAGAGGATGAACTGAGGGGCCACACAGACCCAGTATAAGATAAGTAAGGATTATTTTGCGCTGTGACTCATGCAAAGCTGCTCTAGTAGAGTCCTATAATTAAAACAAAATGGAAATAAGAATAACAGGTCCACCTTAAATACCTTATATTGTCTCATGATGTGAAATAACAAGGTGTAGTCACACAAATGTAGTCATGCGATGTGTCTATTGATTAGTTTTAAGTCATGAAAGGAGAGCAGATGTAGTTCAAAGTGTGACATTTGTCATTTTCTTTGGTATCAACTTGACTTTTGTGCCCCTAGTGAGCTTTATTTTGAAAAACCCTTTGTTTTTAAACCCTAAGTTCAGTCTTCTCTTTTCGTTCTTTTCAGTGAGTAATGTCAACCCCGCTTTCTTTCCATCTCTTTCTATATGCAGCCGTTTTCATACATTATATTTAAAGTTTCGGCTCTTTGGTTTTTGGCTTTGGCACCGGCTCATGCCTCTTCCTAAATATCGGAGGGATTGTCCAAGCTCGCAGAAGCAGGGTGTAGGAATTCTTGATTTGTGTGGCACTCCCTGAGCCACATTAGAAAGGAGAAGGGGGGGAAAAAGCTCAGACCAACCCTTAAATTGATCACAGAAAGAGTGATGCGCAGGCCACCACATTTCTGCTTTACATATGATTGTGGAATGAGGTTGGAGACAAACAGGCTCATTTTTGAAGCTTTTTCACAGAAGTAAAACTGATTACTTGCATTTCTTTTTTTGTAGGTCCATTTTGCTTGGTTATCTTCAGTATTTCAGCCCCCAAAAATGCCACCAAGTTTCTTGTTTCTTAGCCACTGGCCAGCAATTTAAGGAAAGCTGCACAAGCGTTAATTTCTATTAATTTTGTCGTTGCTTGCTTTGTAGTTTTGGCCCCCAGCATGGTAGGGGGAGGGAAAAATGGCTATGATGTTAAGTCTCCAAATTGCTCTTAATGTGGGGGGTTTAAGTTTAAATTTAAAGGTCTCGGTCTCCAAACTCCAGAAGAAAGAATCGTCTATGTTCTGGAAAAGCTGCCAAGAAGTCAGATCCGGCGGAGTTTCCCTTTAATAACAGAGAGGCTCGGCAGACACTCATGAGTGGATGAGCAAACAGGCTGGCATGGGTAACGAGGTTTTAACTGTGTGAAAATCCCCTAGGTGGTGCGAACGAGAGGATTTACAAGTGTTGACACTTTGTGTGGAGTTGGATTTCAGACACATTCTCCAGGAATGCGTCGTAAACAGAGCGCTGAGAGCCCCCGCCGAGCCATTGCTCCCGACTAAATGCGAGTTTGTGTCCCGGCAGGAACCTGCGTGAAGTGTGGGAAAGGAGTGTACGGGGCGGATAACGCCTGCCAGGCTCTGGAAAACCTCTATCACACTCGCTGCTTCACCTGCGTGTCCTGCGGTGAGTACGGCTTCCCCCCACCCACGCACACAGACACACACACACCTGACCAAACACAGCAATGATGATCAGGCTTAATGATGAATTTGTGCCACCGCCACACCTTCTGCAAACGCCCTCTTTGAAGCATTTACCACAAAAATGTGGAGATTTAATTATGCTGAGTCACCTCTGCCCCCATCTGCAGGACGCACCCTGAGAAACAAGGACTTCTACAATGTCAACGGCTCTGTGTACTGTAAAGAGGATTATATGGTAAGAGTCGAGGCCGAGGCTTGTTTTGTCATCCGCCTCTCTCACACACAAACACACTCAGACGTGCTCGGAGTCGGTTTGGGGGGAATCGAGGTTGCGATATTAGTAATCTCTTTGTTTTAATTACAGTTTTCGGGATTCCAGGCGGCTGCGGAGAAGTGTAGCGTGTGTGGCCACCTTATTCTCGAACAGGTGAGGGCTCTGTGTGAGTGTGTGAGAACCAGCACACCAAATACCTCCCAAACATTTGGAAGAACTCAGAAGAAACGCTCTAATCTTTAATCTTCCTTTTAGTTATTTACATCCAACGTTTCCCATAATGTTTTCGAAGAATCCCTCGGAGAGTAGAGAAATTCAGTGACGTCCTTCTGTTGGCTGCTCGTTGGTTTCCCACGACAGATTTTCACTGGAATGTTTGCCTTGGGTTTTTGATAAAGGGAAAAAAATGGCTCTGCAGTGATTATCTTAAAACTTTTCACCATATTTGAACCACATAATACCCATAATATAAATAGCAGGCTGTCACTGTGTCTGTGATCCACAAGCATTATTTTCTGCATCAGTGGCTCGAAAACTTGTTGGTGCAACAGTGTTGAGAGGGGAAAATGCATTCCTGCTGGACTTGGGAGTTTAATTGGAAACACTGCTGCTTAAAGTATAACATTCAAGTTAATAAAGTTTATTCTTTTGTCTCCTGTTGAACGCTGTCTGGTCTCTGCTGGATTACTGATTGAAAGTGGAGGATGTTGGCAGGACAGTGTGGTAATGCTAAACCTGTTATTACCTGAGTCTGATGCTCTTTTTGGCTTTATGGGAAGTCCCCCCTCCCCCTTTACTTTTTAAATATGGCACCAAATCACTCGAGACTTTAATGCATTACAGAAAGAAAACCAGTAATCATTTATGTGCAAGGGATTGACAACAATGGGGACAAAAAACCTCACTTTTAACTGGAAACTGTCCCCAAGTAGCTAGAAAATGTAACTTCAGGGTAAACAGAAGAGCCACGGTGCAAAGGGAGCTGGAGTAGAGGGCTGTGACAGGATGTCATCATTAATGGCTGTACTGTTTAGCTGGCTGTGTGAGTCTTTGACTGGTGGGGGGAAAAATCACTGCTATTTGAAAATACTCAGAACAGCTTCAAGGTTTGTATTCTTTTATTTGTTTTTTGAGCAACCAGATTGTAAGTTCTGGTCAGAGACATGTTTGCTTTTGATGCCATTAAACTCAAGATGAGGGAGATATCGTCAAAGCTGGGCGGCCTACATCAAATCTGATGTAGTCTGTTTTGATGTAATCTGCTTTCTTTGGAGGAAGAAGAAACGGAAGACTAGAAAAAGTAAAACCTAACAAAATTTTCTCTGTTCCTTTTATGCTCCTACACACACACACACATCCTTCACAATAGCCAACCACTCCCTTGCAGTTGGTGGATCCTTATCCAGCCTTTGATATTTTTATTTTTGAACTTAAATCTTAGATCTGGTTGTTCTCACCCTCAGATCCTGCAGGCTCTTGGGAACTCGTACCATCCCGGTTGTTTCCGCTGTGTGGTGTGCTCCAAGGCTCTGGATGGGGTGCCTTTCACCGTTGACCAGCACAGCAAAATTTACTGCGTTGCAGACTACAACAAGTGAGTATTGTACCCGAGCACAAAACGGTCAGACTGGAGCCTTTGCTGGACAAATCCTGGTCCCTGGGCCTTATGTTTGACACTCCTGCTATAAGAGCTTCAGCTGTTCTGTACTGAAGATGTTATGAAGTTTGCACATTTAACATTTTGCAGAATGTGCTGCTGCTTAAAAATAACCGCTCCTGTGTCTCACTGCAGGACTTTTGCCCCGAAGTGCGCTGCCTGTTTACAACCCATCTTGCCTACTGAGGTGAGTAACGCTGACCTATCTCGTACTGTTCCTCTTCCTACCATTTAAGCTCCCATCTGGTTAAGCCTTCCCTCCTAGAAGGCCCCATCTGCTCTGATTGGTCAGCTGGCCTGGTTAAAAAATGAGCTGTGGCTTGCACTCATGAACCGTGAGTGTAGACACTGCCCTCTAAAAGCTGCTGTGTCACAACACTTCGGATTCAGCGGTGTATGTTTGAACCAGAATCTGTCCCACAGCAACGAATTAGCATGACTGTGTTCATAATTTACTTTGTTTTGGGCAGTTTTCCAAACTTTACACAGCAGTGTGACACAGAACAGGCAGGAAAGTACTGGAAATGTGGCTCTGCTGACCTGTTTGCTGTTTCAGGGCAGTGAAGACATCCTCAGGGTCGTGTCTATGAACAAAGACTACCACTTTGAGTGCTACCACTGTGAGGTAAGTGACGACTTAACGTTTCTGACTTCGTTTTGAAGCGAACCCACAGCTGACCTCGCCCCGTCTCCTCTCTTCCACCCTCAGGAGTGCGGCAAGCAGCTCTCCGATAAGCCCGGCTCGCAGTGCTTCCCTCTGGACTCCCACCTCCTCTGCCACTCGTGCCATGTGAACAGAGTGTGCGCCACACATAACGTCCCCCCTCACAACACACACTGATCGGCTTCTATGCAGCTGTAGATTTATTTTTATGTAAAAGCTGGTCTTAATATGCTGTCCATCCCCCTCCCATTCGCTCTTTCTTTACAACAAACCTGCTGAGATTGAGATGTTTTCACACTTCACCTTTATTTTGTCTGACTTGGATCAGTTTCTGATTGCCACATGTACTGCCTGCTGTACTTCTTGTACTATTACTGTACAACAGTTAAAAGGGAACAGGAAAACTACTGCTTTTTTAATTCTTTACCCTAATGTGGCTACTGTTTGCTGTAGAGAAATGAGGGATTTTTTTTGTTTTTGTACATACATTATTGCTATCAGAAGTTTTGCACTTAAATTTGACTTTACTGTAAGAGATTTGTTACGTGAATCTGTACAAGTTGGAAAACACATTACTGTAATGATTATGTTGTAATAAATATTTTCTCTGCTCACACAGATTGTGTAGCTAGGTCAAAATTCAAAGAGGAGTCATCGTGCTTTCTTGTTTCGTGTCTGTTTTGGCTGCTGCCTGTCGGGGTCACCACAGTGGATCATCTGCCTCCATCTCTAATATCCTGAACCTCCTCTGAGATATTCTTTTTGCATCCTTTGTCCCATATGTCCACTCTCTGCACGTCTAAACCATCTTAAGCATGTCTCTATAATAACTTTGTCTCCAAACTGCTCACCCCTCCAGTCCATTCTGCTCACTACCAGTGAAAATGTTAACACCTCCACCTTGGCCTCCTGTCTTTTTGTCAGGAGACAATGACACTGACCATACATCATAGCAGGTCTCATTACAATCTTGTAAACCTTGTCACAAATCACCCGACACTCCTCTACACCCACTCCACCTGTCTTGTGCACTGTCCATAGCTTTGAACGATTGACTCCAGGTATTTAAACTCACTCCCTCTACAGGTGTTAACTTGTACAATTACAATGTCATCTGCAGTTAAGAGTCCACACACTCCTGCCTGACCTCTCAAAGCAAATATCACATCTGTATAGCTCCTTTTAAGTATGAAGCCACACTACTAATCACCAATCATCACCTCAGTCTTATTTAAACATGACCAAAAGGTTCAAGTAATGAAGGCACGGTTATATTCAAGAAAAAATCCCCATGAACCAAAACCCCTGGCTTCAGACTGCTCTTAATTCATTTTCTGCTCTTAGTTATGAACGTCAGCAAGAGGGGATCTTCCAAATATGGTCATCTCAGCACAGAAGCCCCACCCACCTGCTACTAATCATATCTTCTGTTTGCAAGAGGCAACCAATCATTAGAATAGAAGGGAGCTAAAGGAGCATGTTTAAGTCTGGGTGAACAGGGTGGTTCAGTATGAGAATAAATAAGGATTATTTTTAACTGTGAATCATCCAAAGCTACTCCAGACAAGAAATGCATGTAAACAAAAACATCCCAGCAGACAATGTGATAACCAATTAAAGTTTATTCATATTTTTTTTTTAATTCTTGGTACATTCAGCACTTGTAGGAGGAAAAAGCAACAAAATCAGTTTTAAACTAAAAAAAGAAAATTTTAAAATTCTAACCATTACTCTATTAGAAGATAAAGATTTTTTATTTTCACCTCCTCTTAAATATAGGATCAGAGGAGGCGTTTTCAAATAGACATCAGTGCAGGGAAGGTCAGCTTCCCATAATCATCTGAGTATTTCATATCCTCTCCTTCTCATCCCACAAAAGGACAAAGTTAGGCATAATGCCACATCTCTCTAACACTACTGTCGCAGTGTCGAGACGTCACTCGCACAACAAGCCTTCAAAGGCTGAAGAAATAAACATGATTCCTCAAATTTCCAAGAAAACAAAATTAACTTATATCAACAAAGGTCGCCCATAAAGGTACATTAAAAAAAACAACAACAAAACAAAGATAAAGAAAAAATGTTTTGTGCTGAAGAGGAGAACATTAAAACTGATCCTAGAAAATATGTGAAGGTCAGGGATCTATTTTGGACTGGTTTTATTACAGGGCTGAGGAGGAAGGAACTGTGCACCCGCAGAACTAAAATAATGAGGCGGGCTCCCAAAACCTCAGTGGGACAAAAAAATGAAGAGGCGAGCCAGAAAACTACCGCCCTTCTTCTTTTCTTCAATCAAAGGGGAACCGACAGCACTGAAACAGAGACGAGGAGGAAACGCTACTCTCTACAGGAGGAAGGAGCCGGTGTTCTGCTGGAAGACGGAAAGAGAACGGAGGAGGAGGGGAGCGCGATGAACCGTCATGTTTCTGCAAAGGAATTTGTTAAAAAGATGGGGAGTGGGGTGGGTGGCAGAAGTGTGTGGAAGACAACGCTGGTGTCATAGTGGACGAATTCAAGCACAGTGGGGGCAGGTAGGGGAGGAGCAGACACCGAAACACCCCTGCCAGTGCCAGCCCGCTGCGTCCTCAGCTACACTGCTTCCCTCTCCAGCTTTTCCTGCGGCCTCCGTCCATCCCTCAGCGACGCCTGTCCCTCGGGTTGCTCCGACTACGAGACCGCCGTCCACTAGCAGCGCCCGGCGAAGGTCGTCGGGGCCGGTGGCTGCCATCCCTCTTCTTGTCCCCCTCACGGTCCCGATCTCTGTCTCGGCCCCGCTCTCTGTCTCCGTCAGCGCCTCGCCCGGCTGCTCCGCCGCTCGTCGCCACGCTGCCATCCTTCTCCCGGCCCTTCAGCCTTTCCTTCTCCTCCTCGCGTTTCTTCTCCTCCTCTTGCAGTTCCTTATGCCTTCGCTCGCGCTCCTTTTGTCGCTCTGTGCGATCCAAAAGCCTCTGCGCCACCTGAGAGGGGGCACAAACACGGCGCACTGTTCAGGTGCAAGTACAACCACACCAGTCACTCGACACTAAATGTCAACATGTGAAGGACCAACCTGCTCCTCGGTGAGGGGAAGCCAGTATATACACGGAGCTGTTTTGGTCTTGAGGAACAAGTCGTCTAACAGTTTGGCTGGAGGTTCATCTGCCTTCTCTGTCAGTGAGGAAACAGAACCAGGCTGTTACACATGGAAACCTGAGCGCAAATATACATGTGATTAAAGTTGTGACTCACAGACCACACAGCAAACACTGCTGCACAGTTGGGGGATGTGGGGTTGCTTGTGTTTATCAACTTTGGGTATTGCATATGAGTAAAGGGCTCGCTGGGAAAGAAATCTTAGTTACTTTGCCAAATTGTGCACCTTTAGATTTTATTTAAAGCAGAATGGGAGGCAGAGCCTTCAGCTTTCAGGTCCCTCTTCTGTGGAACCAGCTCCCAGTTTGGATTCAGGAAACAGACACCATCTCTAATGTCAAGATCAAGCTTAAAACTTTCCTTTTTCATAAAGCAGCAAAGGCTCCTGGCAATTTCCCATGATGCATTGTGTTTCTTCTTCACTCTGTGTTTATACATCACTCTGCTTTTAATCAATAGTTATTGTTAATCTCTGGCTATCTTCCAGTGTGTCTTTTGTCCTGTCTTCTTCCTCTCACCTCAACCAATAGCGGGAGATGGCTAACTCTCCCTGAGCCTGAATCTGCCGGAGGTTTCTTCCTGTGAAAAGGGAGTTTTTCTTTCTACTGTTGCCAGGTGTTTGCTCAAAGCTGGTCATCTGATTGTTGAGGTTTTCTCTGTATTATTACAATATAAAGCCCCGTAAGACATTCACACCAATGGCCTACTGGAGGTGGTGCTGTATAAATATAGTTGAACTCAACCCCCCTCCCATTCTGACCATTTTCACTTGTGATTTCATCACAAACCTTAAACTCACAAAGTGGAAACATCAATCTAATAAAACAGAGATTTGGATCCCTGTGAAAAAATTAAGCTTTCCCAACGCTGCCAAACTTGTGTCATCAATCCAGTCCAATTATTTTCTTCCCCACATTCAGAAGCCAATCAGCTTCTGCTCCCTGTTCTTTGAATCTCTTCCATCACTCCGCCTTTCACCTCCATCTCCACCTCATCCTGGCCACCACCAAAGTCCAATTCCTCCCACTGCTGGGACTCAGCTCAGCTGTGTAGCTTAATTTGAGTCTAATTGACAAATTATTTATCACAAGCTCTGAACTTCAGTAAATCATGTTCAGTTATCTCCACTGATCTCTCCTTACCGTAGCGTTTTTTTTGGTTTGTTTTTCCAAATGCAGGGTAGGACACAGATAAGTGGACCTGTGCAAATGGTTAGATATTTACAGGAGTGAGCCAAATGCAGCAGGAGTGCAGGGAGCAGTGTAGAGCTGCACAAAGAGATGGACACTGAAGCGTTAATGAGCCAATTTCTCAAAAGCCTCAGATTCTTTGAACCAGCTCCCAGATCACTCTGCTTCTTTTTAAATACATGAAGCTCATTTCATCCCCAAAAGTGACACAGTCGGGAAGCTTTCCGTGTTGATTAATTAATCATTACTGTCTGTTTCAGTAAGGTGTACTTGGATTAAACTCCCCCCTCCCCCACTGTGATACTCTTAGTGAGTTGTCTTACCCTTCTTATCAGTCTTCCTCTCCTTGCTCTTGGCCCTCTCTCTCCTCTTCCTGTCTCTGTCTCTGGATCTAGATCGTCGTCCATCCTCTCCCGGCCGTGCAAATTCCCGCACTTTATCCCGGTCCCATTCCCGCTCGCCTCGCGCCCTCTCTCGGCGCTGCATCTCCCTTTCTCGCTCTGCCCACAGATCCCGTACACCTCTGTCTCGCTCGCGTTCACGCTCACGTTCCCTGTCTCTGTCCCTGTCTCGTTCTCTGTCTCGCTCAGGCATCAGAGGGGGCAGCCGGATCGGTGGGGCAGCGGGCGGGGGAACAGGCTCCTCCTCTTTGTCTGGCTTCAGGACACCTTTGTGAAAGTCCAGCTGTTTGAAAACATAAGCAGGCAGGTTAAAGAGTAGCTGTGGAGAGATTATTAAATGCACACAAAGGTGCATTTATAGGTTTATTTTTTAAAACACCTCAATATTAGACTGCAACCAGTGAGGTCAAGTTATTTCTACTCACTAGAAGTTAAAGAAGAGGTAATAGCGAAGCCCTATTTTTCCTCAGTACATTAAAAGTAGCAGAAAAATGATCCATTATAATAAAATGAGCTCAAACCATGTTAAGGCTGGACTGTCCTCGCCACCACCCAATGTGAAGTCTTCAAGTTTTGTGTGTGCTGAAAGCAGTGCATTTTTATTTGTGGCATTTCTGGCTTGTTATTACCTCAGCCTGCTCACAGAAGTCCACGTTGAGGACCTTGGGATTGCTCGTAGGCCACTTGACTCTGTGGAGGGCAGCTCTGGTAGCGACAGCCTCGTCTGTTGTAGCGTACTACGAGGGTAGGAGGAAAGGAAACAGAGAGAAAACAACCCAATCACATCTCAGCCAACACAAGCTGTGAAAACAGGCAATGGCACAAACAGATGGAAGCAGATGGATGAGAATGCAGAGGTCAAAAATATTATGCAAATGTTCCTTGTTGAATTTTCTAACATATATTTGCAAAAACAAATTATCGAGCCGTTTGACAGATGCTGATTAGGAAACAATATACTTTAGAAACTGAGCGCTGCATAATTCCACATGTAGCTTGTTAACCACATGCATCCACTCCTGATGCAGTGAAACGGTTCATTTGGCAATACGTACTGTGACATAGCAGTGAGACTTTATCTTGTCAATCCAAAAGCCCTCTTCCACTACGCTCCCTGTACGGTTCAGCAGCTCCTTCAGCTGGCCCAGGGTGAAAGGTCGCACCTGTTGGACAAAAAAAAAAAAAAAGATTCAGACTTGAAGACATACTTTAATGATGGTCTGGTAAAGAAAGCCCTACCAATATATTATTTTTTTAATCGTTTTATGAAATGTAATCTGTATTTTCACCACTTTCAGCTGTATTACAGATTAAAGCTGCAGCATATTAAACAGGGGAATGCCCTAAGGTCACAGCTCAGACAATAACCCTTTTGAATTTAGGTAACGTTCTCCTCTAGTGCCACCATCAGGCCAAACAGCATATTTTTTCCCACTTGACGATCAAAGACGGCCATTTCTAGGTTTGACATCTGCTTACACCGTCAGCTCCTGTGTTTCTAAAGTGTAAGGCCACCTGAGATTACTGAGCCCTGGTGACCAACGTATAACCCACATATGACGCAAGCAACAAAAATCTCCAAATGGCAGTGATTAAATGTGTAACGTCTAGTCTTGTCACAGTCTGTTAAGTCATGCTCTGTGCCCCTGACTTAAGCTGATGCCTGACTACAACCTTAACACCTGGGTAAGCATTCCTGTCTGTAATTATGGGAAAGATGGTGATGATCATGTGATTACCACTGGCATACAATATATCCCATTCATGGAAAACTACAAAAGTTTAACTCTTGAACCTGGTATAAACACACACGATTAAGAGGGGAATTTTACAGATTGGGGAGGTGTGTGTGTGTGTGTGTGTGGTAACAAACCCACCAGGTTTGTCACATGGATGATGTTTGACACTTTTCCACGAGGTGGTGAGGGCTGCCTGGTTGTGCGGACGGGATCGTCGATCGTGACGGACACACCGGACTTCTGTTGACTTATGGAGCGACGCACCAGGCTGTCGCTGGGGGTAACTGTTGGAAAAAAAATGAGAAAGAGCCAGGAAGAGTGAGAGGGAATCACTGGAATGTTGCCACAGGCATGACGGAAAGCTGGAGGTAGCAATTAATTATAGCAATTAAGAATCCACAAACTTTCACCTTTCTTCGCTTCCCCGTCGAGGCTGACAGACGTCTGTGTTTCTGGGGCGTCCTCGGAAAAACTGCTCTTCCTGTTGTCTCTGGAAGTCCGACGTGGTTTCTCTGTCTCCATTTTCTCCACCTCCTCTTCTTCTTCTTCTTCTTCCTTTGTCTGTCCATTTTCCTGGCTGCTACCTGGGACAACCTGGAGAGGGAAAAAAGCCCAAAACAAAACAGGAACATGAAGAGAAGCCTTGTAGTTTCCAAAGTATTTCACTCAACGCCACCTACAGGCGTTCCCTTACCTGTGTGACGGTGCGTCGGATCTTGAGGCCTTTGTCTGGGTCGCTTCTGCTGGCATCCGGGTTCTCCTCATCACCAGACAACTGCAGCTCCTCTGGGTGAAGATCCACGACTGCCTCCTGGTTCACTTTGATGTCGGGGATCAAAGACTGAAGCGTAGAGATGTGGACAGGAGAAAAGAGATAAAAGAGAAAAAGAATTATGTTAATGTGGGAACATCTGACAGCTTCTCACACATTCTATTCAAATTTCCAAATTTTCAATTTCCTTACACAATTGTTTGATAATATGACACACCTCACAGCAGCAGTCGAGTGTAAAATGTAGGTGAAGCTTCCACCAAATGAAAACAATAAGAACACCTCATGATAAATCACTCTTTCCAATTTAAAACGGAAAATCTTCCCAAAATAAGTCATCACAATGTCAGAAGTGCTGGGTGTGTCTTCACTTTGAACAAGAATGATCATGTAAGTTTTGATCCGGAGCCAGAAAAAAAAAACGCTTCACTTCAATCAGAAACTTCTAAAAAAATAAAGTGTTCTTTCTTCTTACACCACCTTTTATAACCTTCACTTCTCTACTATCTGTTGGATGCCAGGTGCTCATCCCTGTGCTGTGTTGGTACCTTCAGGGAGTCCGTTGTAATGCTGATGGAGGGCTTCTTAGCAGTGACGGCCGTGCTGGAACCCCATCGCCTCTTTCTCCCCGCTGCGGTTCCCGTCTCAGTCTCTCCTGCTCCTCCGTCTGTGGTGGCGGGAGAAGTCTTACTGTCTGCAGGAGTTGGGGGAGAGAAAAAAAAAGTAATTTATCATCATGAAAGTGAGCGATTTGGCTTCTGGTGAAAAGGATTTCACTGACAAGTTACTGCAAGCTCACAGCCTGAAAGCAGCAATGATTGTCCAAATGCTTTTACCCAAATTGTTTTGGCAATGGTGGCAGTAAGTAATTTAGGACAAAATTCAGAAATGTAATTGAGAGATTAAACAATTTCCTTAACAATCTTCTAATACTGGACCATTTTTGTTTTGGCTTGCTTCCACAGAGAGTCTGCTAGAAAGCCTCTGCACACCTGCTTTCTCCTAACACAGAGCTAACAGGCAGCACTTTTTAAAGAGAGGAGACTAGGAATCCTGTAGTGGATAAAGGCAAAGTGCATTTCTGAGGAAACAAGCATGGACAGTATCCCTGCTGTAGCGTGTTGAAATTGGAGAGACCAGTGAGTAATTTTTTTTTAAACCCACTCTGAGTCAAACTAGCACACCATTTCATTTCTTTATCATTTCTTAATCACTGTGCTGCTACCAGAGCTATTAGGTGTGAACGGAAAACAAAAGATGTCATGTTGTTTTAATACCATCAACGCTACGATCCAACAGAGACTACATTCATTGGTGTACAGCACACACCGCAGAGGAGCAGCTGTCTCATCTCCAAGATATAACAGGGTTTCATCAGCTGTTCATTTCAAATATGGCAAAACCTTCAGTCACTGAGGTAAACGTAGACTTCTATGTTTTTCCTACTGACGTCAGTGCAGTTTTCCTCAATCTAAAGCTGTACTATTTAAAGTTTGTTCATGTAACAAGTGACGTGGAAACAGTTGACAACTAAATTTATTTTTGGTGTATGATCCAATCGCAATCAAGTGATCAAGTGTGGTGGGGTTTTTTTTTTGTGGTATGGACTAAATCTGGGATTTTGGCCCTTATTACAGGTTACTACATATAACCAATAGTGCAGGGAGATACTGTATAATAGTTTGGTGATAGCAGAACGCCATATGTGCCACGTTCCTTCTGTATTTCCTGGCAGGCTCTTTATCTGCTGACATCTGACAGATTTTTCACATGCACGTTTTAAAAAAAAAAAAATCTGTCTTCTGATGGAAAGACTAAGTCTGCTTTTAGGTCCCATAATAAGCAGGCTATGACAGTAATATCCGACACAGTCTTAGTAATCAGCGCACACTCACATTCAGAACGACAGTCATGCTCAAAAAACGCGAGGAACTGCGTTTCCAAGTAGGGTTAGGTTGTTTTTTTAATGTCCACACCTGCATGATGAAGTAGCGGTGCTCACAATCACCAGGTTTAGCCGGAAGATTTAAAGATCCTTTAACGCAGGGGTGTCAAACTCAAATACACAGTGGGCCAAAACTCAAAACTGGAACAAAGTCGCGGGCTAACGTTAATATTTATTGAAATATATTTAATCCTCCAGATATAGGAATGAATCTTTTCTTATGGACTCAAACACGTTTTGCTGAAAAACTGAATATGGAACAAGCAAAGCTTAATACTAAACAATATATATATTAGCTGTATAATACCAGTAGGCCAGCTCTAATAGTAATTTGGTTTGGCTTCGCGGGCCAAATGTAATTAGGCTGCGGGCCAAATTTGGCCCGCGGGCCAGAGTTTGACACCTATGCTTTAACGGGTTTTTAAGACTCTCTTATCTTTCTGATTTAATTTTACACTACAAACTCTCCAGAGCCCTCAGGTCCTCTGCTAGGAGACAGTCCCTAAAATTAGAACCAAGACTCACGGAGAGGTATCTTTTAGTTATTATGCTCCGGGTTTATGGAACAGTCTACCTGAAGACCTGAAGGCTGCCGAAACTGTTGAGATGTTTAATACAAAACTCAAGACCTTCTTTTTTTTAGCACGCCTGGTTAAGGTTTTTGTGTCAGTTTTATTTATTTTAATTTTTATTTATTTTGATTTTCATTTAATTATTTTTATTATACTTTATATTTACCCTTTACTTATTTTTTTCTTCTCTGTATGATAGGTGGGTGTCTAATGTGTAGACGTGGGTGTGTAGGAGGGGTGTTGAGAGAGTGCAGAGAAGGTGGTGTATGTGTGTATTTCAGTTTATTTTCTGCATCTTAATGCATAAAAATTCCTATAAAAATAAAGTTTTGATTGACTGAGGAGGCCAGGTGAGGGGAAGCCAATTGGAAGAAGTTCCCATCAGTTTGAATGTGGATAAACAGAAGTGCTATGTAGGATAAATCCATGGAGCTATGGTAGTCGAGTCCAAGAATAACCAGATAATGTGCTGAAATAAAAAAGGAAACTTGTGTACTGCAGTGTTTTTCCTGATTAGATGTTATTACACAGAGTTTACTTTTGCCATCTTGCTCATGCAAGTACACCGCTTAAAAAAAAAAAAGAAAAAAAAAAAAGAGTGTCTAATCTTTCACTTTAAATCCTGCTCAATCTATCGTCATGTATCCTGTAACATGGGTAAGGTTTCTGGTCCAGGATTCCAGGAAAAACGATATAACTGGTATACTTACTGGTCAGGGATATCTTGCGAGCAGCAAAAGCCTTAGGGGTGGTGCTCTGGAAAGAGAGAGAGACAGAAAAAAAACATACAGAAACCCCAGGGGTGCGGGGTGAGATGAGAACCGGGAGTCCAGACCCAAACAGGCATCAACAGAGACGAGGTGAAACAGGAAAAGTGGAGGAGGGGTGGGGGGACGAGGGGGTTAAAGTAACAGAAGCCCGGAGGCTCTAATTGTATTACATTAAAAATAAAAAATCTCTGGTTTATACCAAGAGGCTCCAGACACATTTCTGCCATCCACCTCTGCTCAGAGCCGCTGAGATAAATCTTTATGCTTCTTCACTTCTACATGCGTTTGACAGCAATATGGACTTTAAGAGCAAAGCAACTACAGGATCAGTATTAGGACACAAGTAGGGCAGCAAGATGGTGTCTATCTGCAGACTAAAGTCACAAGTAAGTCTTAGTAAACTAAAACAATTCTTCAGACACCAAAAAAAATTGGTGCCAACATTACATACTGTGGCAAAGTTGTGAAGTTTCAGAGGCTTCCTAACTTTACACACACTACTGCTGATGTAACGAGAAAGAGCTCGCGTTACTTTAGCAGCGATAATAAGTGAATGTAGAAGTATGTAAAGTCATGTTTACTAGCTTTCTACATGCAAAATAATTATTATTACAATAAGAAACACCCTACAAATATGTTTCACAATGACTACAGCTGATAGGATTGCAAATGTTCCACACAAACCCAACTATGGTCCTGACAGAACGAACACATTCAAATCACTGTTTTCGATTTAAAAGAGTTTCGCCATGTTTCAGGTTTTGATCAGTAGATGGCAGGAAGTGCAGGACCTTTGCTTCCTAAATAAGCCGTATGAAGTGGCTAGTGGCTTCCTGACAGTTTCATTAATTCCATTTTGTGCTGAGGGAAACATTACTGATCTGTGTTCTTCGACAGCACTATATTACTTAATTATCTCTAGATATTTTGCAGTGTGCAGGTAAACAAAATAAAACCCCAAATGCAAATACATAAGGGTATATTTTGTTTGCCCTCTTGTGGCTGCAAATTTGAATGGTTTTAACTTGTGTGGCTTTTTGTAACTATTATTCTGCGTTTACAGGGTGCTGATGCTGCTAATGCACTCGATAAGCATTAAGGTAATGGTGTGTAGCTGAGTCAAGTGGTGCAATTGAATGATGGTAAAATATTAGTGCTAATGAGCAGAGGTGGAAAACCAAGTGCTGAAGACGTACTAATCTGTAGCAGAACTATCAATACTGCAGTTGTAATTCACCTTAAAGAATGCATCATATTAACAAAAGGCTATTGCAGATCCACAGTCTGTGTTTAAATGTATACAGAGCACTCTCGGCTTGATGTAAACATATCAAATTGAACTGCAGTACACATGACAGTTCCAGAATTTTGGACTAAATTACAAGAGGAGGAAAAAAATATTTTATACACTAACTCCTGTCAAATATTTACACATTTTTAAATAGAGGTATAATGACAAGTCATTTCCTGGTACCATTTAACACCTGATTCCTTACTGGCCCAACCTCACGACAGTGTGCACTGTATCTAGGCAACAAGGATCCAATCAGAGAAGGCAGAGAAGTGAGGGCAGGGCTCGATTTGAGAGTGCAGATTAGCCACCAGGCAGGAACTGATCACCAGATTGGACTTTTTTTCTGGGGAGGACTTTTCTTGACTGACTGCTGGTCACACAGTCACGATTCAGTCTTTTTGAGGGGGGTGGCAGAGGTTTCAGAGCGTCTCTGTGGACTCTGACGGAGTCAGGGGAGGGATGTAGGTTTACTTTGTTAGAGTCCAGGATCTGTGACGTACATCTGATGAGTCTTTTGTTAACGCTTGAGGCTAGTGTCTTTCATTTCCATTGGTGCTTACATATTCTCCATTCCCCGTGGATACTTGGGAAAAAAATGGGATTTTCAACATGATAACCCCAGATTGTCTGTGATGCCTTCCAGCTCTTTTTTACCCATTAGGTTTCTGTAGGTTTCCAAGTATGCAGCGAGAGTCTTACGCTTGCTTTGAGTTCACCGCACAGAAGATCAGAATCAAGTCTCTTAACAGGAATAAAGATGGAAAAAAAATAATCCAGTCTTTGTTGAACTGCAATCCACGGCTGTAGTCAAAGACAGAGGGCTCATAGCAGTGCTAGCATGACTCCCCCCACACACTCGCATGAAACCATGCAAAAAAAATTTACCAGGGCCAAGCTGTGGGTGTAGCGAAGAGATGGATACATAAATAAATACGTAACAGCAACAACCGCAGGAGTCCATCTGCAAGGTCCACAGTAGAGAGAGAATATCACAATGTCACGGTGAGACATCCACTGAGTCACACTGGTGCTCACTGCAGGGAAAGAACGGGCAGCAGTTTGTGGAGCAGATCCACCCTTCCTGGCAAAGCGTAGATGATCAATACAACCACAGAAAAAGTGCATCACTGTGGTCAGATTACTTGTCCTTGGACAGATGTCTTTAAAAGTCTCTCTGTGTCTTTACTAAACTGGAACCATTCAGGAAAACTGTTGTGATCTTAGCTCAATATGAGTCCCATTTGAAAGGTGTGCCACACTGTCAAGGCAGATGATAGCTGCAGGCTTTACAAAACCAGAAATCCAGATGTGTCACATCCATAGATTTTTGTCTTATCCACAAAGTTGTCCAACAAAAACAAAAGAAAAAAAGCCCATGGGTTGTTGCTTACTAGCAGATTGTCTTAGTTGCTCCATTTGAAAGAGTCTTAAAACCCAAAACGGCGACAGCAGCATTAATTAGCAGTTACTGCAACAGTTCTCAGTCCAAAGTCATTACTCCACTCCACAAGCAGAGGGCAGCGTGGGAACAGAGGAAGCATCAAAAACCAAACTGGAGAACTGAAGTTTTGTCTGGATTTTGGAGGACAACACTTGCAGACTGTGTTTATCCTCAAAATGGCAGAAAGGGCTAGGGAGAGGGATACAGAGCATCAGACACCCTCCCCCTCCTTTAACCCTTCATTTATCACCACCACACAGTCCAGTCCAGAACAGAGAGCAGGCTTCCACGCCCTGTGGCTGCCGCTGCTGTCGGTGGTGCTCTGATGCAAGCTCCCATTACTGCTGGCTGACAGGAGGCCTTGCAGGCTGACGCTTTACTCAGTGCCATGGGGTTGCAGACTCTGGGCCTAACTCAGGTACCAGCGACGCACTTGGGCATAGCGGGACAGGACTTGTAGGAGAAGTAGGAGGAGGAGTGGAGGAGGTGTTGGTGGTGTTGTTGGTGGTAGTAGTAGTAGTACGCAGCAGGTACCAATAGGGGCAATGGAAGAGGCATGGGCACCTTCATAACAAAGCAATCAATGGGGTTTTAAACAGCAATCACACCATAAATATATATAGTGAGAGAGAAGTGTTCATTATGGGATACAAAGGCAAAAGATGAAAAGAGGTGGAGATAGACAGTGAGAGAGAGAGAGAGTGAATAAGACAAAAAGGGAGGCAGCTTGAAAGGAGCAAGAAAGAGGACAAAGAAACAGGGTGGAAGAAACAGCAGAAACAAGCCCTGATGTATCTCTACACACAATGTCAGGGTCCATTATTCATGCAAACCCAAAGGGGGAAAACAAAACCCACAAATACACACTCACATTGAAAAAGCGATAACAACTTCAAACTGCACAGAAGCTCACCAGAAAATCTAATTCGAGCACTTTAGATGGGCTGGAGTGTAATGCATGATTGTCCTTTCTAATGTTTCTGAGGGCGATGGATGAAAGCTTTATCCGACAAACGGGAGCTTTGTTAGCACTATCAACAATTCTCTGTGGTATAATTAGACTATAATGGTGGCAGTACTTGTAAAAATGTTGTCTGATGTGATGATGCCTCTTAAATACCCTGACACACCACGTGCAAGAACTTGTGCTGAGAAAGAAGTTATATATCAAATTTAATAGGAAACAAACTTAATGAGAATACTTAACAAAAAGTGACAATCGAGTAACTTTTAAAATAGTTTCTTACAAAAGGAAACAGGCAAAGAAACAGCTGTGGACACGATGGACAAGTAGTCCATTCTATTGTGCTTTCTTGATGGATATATGCATTGTAGTTGAAGATGTCCACACGCAGCCTCATATTCATCTGATGGTGATCAAACCAGACCCAACCAGACCCTTGTCACAACTGAGGGAGTAACTACAGCAATGTCAAGTGGGTCACTGTCAACTTGGTGTGTCAGGATCTTTAGATGTTTAAGGCCATTACCTCCCCCCACCCACACACACACACACTAATGGATATATAAGCATGCACTCTCTGCAGCATGGATATCTATTTTAAACACAGTATAACCATCAATACTTTCATTCCAGCAGCTTTTGCCACTTAATGTACCTCTGCAGGGCCCACACAAACAATGGACATGTGTGAGAGATCATCTAAATGAATGAGCTTGTTATGAAATATTAGTTGAATTAAAAGCAGATGGAAGGGATGAGGTGATTCCTATTTAACCCTGGACCCAATTCCAACTCAACCCCAGGTCATTCACACTAAACATTTGTGCAAAAAATATCCAGTTGAGTGATTTGTCTATTACGATGCTTTAACTGATGAACACACTGTAAAGTCAGATTTAATCAAAGGCGAAAAATACATTAACGCCTGCAAAGAAACTGGGGTGTGTTGGTTTTGAGTAACCCATCCTTAAATTACACTGATAATTAAACATGCTTGTATATGAGTGAGGATGCAGGTTAGTGGGAGACAGGAAAAGACCCAGGCTCCTACACCCTCCCAGTGACCTTACCTCCTCATGGCGGCCCTCACTGTTCTCAGGCTCAGCCCCGGAGGCTGGCTGCTGGTCCATGGAGCTCTCCGAATCTGGTTCCACCTCCGTCACGGCGGCTGCACTGGGCTCCGACACCTCCCTGCAGGAGGAAAACAGTGGAAGAAAGGATAAGAGTGAAGGTTATTTCCATGAAAAAAACCCTCACATTGACCATAACTACACAATCAATTATAATAAACACATAGGCAACTTACAGTCCAAGCCGTAAACATTTAGCCAGTGACAGTTTTTTTTTAAATTTTGTTTCTGTAAACCACCCCAGTGGATATGAAATGCATACTTTTAGCTTTCATGAAGGGGGTTTTACAAGGTTAACATATTAACCGTTTAGGGATTACAGAGTCTTTAAAACATTTAATGTCTGACATTTATGTTGTCACATCCAGCTTTGCATAAACGTCTAGAAAGTCTCAGATTTGCAACATGCGTGAAAACAGCTGGTGAATCTCCTGGGATCGAGGAGGGGTTCACACACATACACGGTGAAACCGAGAGCAGAGAGAAACTACTGTGACCATAAATTACAGTTAAAAAAAAGAAATTCCCAGTATTATTTTTATTTGATTGCTGGGGAAGGATGTCCCACATGGCCACATTTTAACAAGCATAGAAAGTAACCAGTGCTGAGGCTCCAATCAAAGACAACTGAGACAGAAATGAGTCCGGCAGCTATTAATGTCTAAGCTGTTGAGGCCTGGGCAGTGTTAGGGTTTGTATAATAGGAGAAAAAACAATGTGTAGGAAAAGAGAGGAAGGGTGGTGAAGGCCAGTGATCTGGGTCACTCCTGCTATAAATAACTCACCAGCTAACTGACACCCAGGGTCACAAACCTTTCTCAGACTAACTCATACTCAGACATAACCTCACAGAAGACTGTGTGTGGTCTTCATCTTATCCATTTGGATCATTGTGGGGGTAAAGAAAAGTATAACAACACCTCTGATTCAACCAATAAAAGCCATGAACTGCGGTTAATGGAGTCGGACCTCACACAGTCAAATGCTTCCCCTCATGTTGTGATATTTTATTACTCATATCTCAGATGAAGATAAAAACAGGAGATGGCATCATTATATTTTTAGCTACCCCCTCAACTCCCCCAACCAGCATTATCAGAAGCCGCCTCCGCTGCCTCCATGTGATGCCACGGGCAGCGAGGCAGCACCCTGTAGGTGGGAGAATCACATCCTGTAGCATCCTTCACTCTAATCACCGTGCTCATCACCCACTGCTGTTCGCATGCTTATTTGCATTATATGTAACAGGACACACTGAAAAATGCTTCTCAATACTAAAAAACCTGAAGGCAACAAAAAGCCTGTTCAAGATGCAAAAATCTCCAACACGTTTAGGCACTAGTTCAATGCCATTTATTCAACAGCCTGTGCAGAAAAACAGCAGTGATAGCTATAACCTCCAGAAAGAAACAAACAAATATGAGCAGTGCATGTGATGTGTGTTACATGTTTTTAATTCACTAATTATTGAGGAAAAGAATAAAAGTTGCCTATTAAATCTTTAAGAATAAAGTAATGTGTGTCTATTCCAAAAATACTTATTCGATCATTATAAAAGGCTACAGGATGAAACTCCTTCATTTTTGTTTGTTATCCACACAAGTGACTCATTGATTAGTTTGTTAATGCCAAAAATATGAATCATGGTTATAGGATTGTGGGTCAGTATTAAAACAACTTATTTAACAAAAAAAACCAAACAATTAACTTAATTAGCATTTATTACTAGGCAAAAAAGACTTTAATGGGTTTAGCTTTAAATCTAATTTACACGAGATAAAATGAAAAATAAAAACTGGCGTATTTTTGACTCTAAAGCCCATCTCACAAGGGCAACGATCACGTGAAGATGGAGGTGGTAGAAAACACAGGGTCATCTCCTTCAGGTTCACCTACACAAATCTCTTTGTGACTTCTACTTCATCTACACAGATCTGGCCGACCAAAGTCTTTCTGATATCTTAACCTGCACTAAACTAAACAGCAAGCGAGTCTGAAGGACAGTGTTTGAAGAACAGGGTCATATTGGGTATATAACGCATGAAGGAAAAGCTTTTTTCAATCATTTTGTTTTCAATATATTTGGAAGGTTTTACACCCATAGTCACTTTGGGTGAGTCACTTTTACCAAAAGGCATCAAAGAACCCCTTCAGCGAGGTGTTAGCTGTGGGTCTACACATTCAAATCCATGTCTTTTAAAGTGACAACAATCTCGCTATAATCCAACAATACTTACTCAAACATTCTCACAAGTCTTGGTTAAAGACAGACAAATCTTAGCTTTGCACATTCTCCATGACATGTAAGACAACCAGTGTTAAGTTTTACTGCATCTTTTAGAGGAAGGGCTGTAATGTTAGTCTCAGTACTGAAATCTACCCAGGGCAACAGCAGAACCGGTTTCACCTCTTCTTCTTGAGATTAGTCACCAGCAGGACAGTCATGAAGACGACAGCATTCCCTTTCCTCCACACAACACACAGACTACACATTTGCTCTAGGTGTTGGTTTCATTGTCTACGGGTGTGTGGGCAAGGCCAGAGGAACACCTGCATCGGCTATAAAGGGAAGACAGATGTCAGCTAGAAATACAACCCCCGCTTAAGATCTTAAGACGAATGACCACAGAGAGAAAGAATGAGCAGCTTTTTCTTCTCAAGTAACACATTTAAAGCTCCCTCTCTCGCTACTCAATAATCTTGCAATAATGTCACCAGTCAGGAATGAGGAAGCCCGTTAAAAGGTGAGGAACAAGATCTGTAAAATGTTGAAGCATAACGTTTTTTCATATTAACGTTAAATGGATTTTTAAAAAAGCAAGCGGCTCAGGGCCAATTTAACAAAACATGGTTTCCAATCAAACTGGACATACAGTCAGATCCCAGGGGAGGAGAGCGAGAGTGCTGGTACCAGCTGGGACAATTTTATCACACCATAAGGGACCATTCACACTGACTCTACAGCTAACAGATGTCTGCTTTAATGATCTCCCTTGACAACAGTGAGATCATTAACAGCTACAGCAACACAAAGCCAAAAATGCAAATATTGTTCACTGTCATTTAAGCATCAAAATGCATGCGGAGATTAAACATAAGTGTGCTTTTAAAGAGATATTCTAAAACAAGAGGGGGGTGAAAGTCCTTTATCTTGGCTGCAAGCATGCCAGGAAAAATACGAGGTCAGAAGGAAAGATGGAAGAGGAGAAATCAATGTCCACATACTTCTCATCACATCCTGAAATCTGAGGACATTATTTATTCATCAATAGCTCCTTTAGTGCAAATTTAATTCAAGGATTGTTCAAAGAAAGGAGACCCCCACTTTCCCGCTCTGAAAAAAAAAGTCTTCCCTTGCTCCTTCACCCAACAAAAGGCTTTCACCGCCGTCCCCACCCCCGGTCCTCTTCACATGGGCGAACACGCTCATAACCAGGCCAATGTGGACACATGATATGATATTCATCAGCCGAGCAGGAGCTGCTAGCTTTTCGGCGCAAAACGACACGCCGAACCCGGATAACGTATCCCGGCAGATTTCTATTTAAGTGGTGTGAAAGTACAAACGGCAACCTGAAGCCTTGAATCGCCCTCTGGCTCCCTCTTACCCGTTTTTGTTGCCTTCGGACAGCATTATGGCCGGCCTTGAAAGGAAACCCCCGGGGATAAAAGATGACACCGTGCCGCTGGATGTTATTTCGGTCAGGCGCTGCTTGAAACCGGCAACGCGAAATTTAAAAAATATCCTGCTCGTATGTTTCAATTACTGATTAGCCATACACTGCGTCGGTATCAGGGATGCACTGCATGCATGACGGCCATGTTGGCTAGCGCGAAAGAGCAACGGCTACCTTCCGGTCTGAGATTTCCAAAATAAAAGCCCAATTTAACGCCCAACCTTGGCGCATATCGAAAGAAAAAGTACTTAAACTTTAACGCAGCACCAGAAAAGAAAACTACATAATATGTGCTACAAGAAGGAAACCATTAAGATATGTTTAGGTTTAAATGAATAACTTTTTAGATATGTGCCATTAGATGCCCATTAATTACATATAACACTCTTTATGTCACCAAGCAGGCTTAAAAATAATCTTTATCAATTAAACTACTAGTTTACTGGGATAAAACTCAAGTTGATTGCCATTACAAACATGCACACCAATTTATCTACCATCACACATGATTCTGAATTCTTTATGCATGAATAACTACTACAGCAATATAGTGTTTATATAGCAATAATTGCTTGACAATTACACAATAAACACTGTGTTTTAACCCTGGGTGTGACCAGAAGTGGCTTTCGGTAGCATGTTATACAGCCTTGTTATAGATATAGTAAAGCAAAATAAGCTGAAAGGCCTATTCCTCTTCAGTTTCCACTTTCATGTATAGGCCATCATAAACCTTGCTGACAGTAACATAATAGTATTGTGTGTATATATATATAATATGGCCCATCGTCTGTGCAGAAACATTACACACAGCAACTGCATCGCTCCGGTGAGCCGAGATAAAGACACACAAAAAAAATGACATTATATTTTTCGGTTTGTGTTCTTCAGCCATTGTAATCATGAATAGTTTTTATACATTTTCAATAGCCCAAAAGCACAGTGGCTATCACGTGCTGCAAGTACAGCACCTCACGTCAACTATCAGAAAATCAAACACACAAACACAAACAGGACATACTTTATCGTAGCCTCATATGACAACCAGAGTTGTGATTACAGGGTTGACCAGGTGCAAAAGATTTTCTGATTTTAACATGAGCAGCAGCTGTTGCAAGTTTGTGAAATACTGCACTAGGTGTTCGATGTGTGTATTTTTCTGTAGCGACCCAAACAACCCAAGCAGCTCAAAACTATCAGAGCAAGGGTTTTAATGAAGAGCTTTTAACTGTATTTTAATGGTTGTAAGAAGAACTTCTAATTGGTCAGGGTGCCTCACAACTGCTGCATATACCATCACAGGCCTGAGCACATGGCCAATAAGCTTGTCCAACATTGGCTATGCTGAACCCTGCCTGACCATATAACTATGAAATAGAATCACGATCTACGATACCCAAAACATCCTGTGATTTAAGTGAGGAAGACACAGTTATGAGGAGAGGAAACATGAAAGAAACAAGAACAAGAAGATGAAAATTGACCTGGACATCAGCAGCCAGTGAGCATCTCTTTGTAAATCCATCACCAGAATTAGTTACCAAACTCTGTGAGGTTATTCCTGAAAAGCGATTTATAAATCACTTTCAGAAATCTGGAATACAGGAATCAAAAAAATGGAACCACAAATTAAGTCCCGGTGTTTGTCTATTGTATGGTGAACTGAAAAGTTAAGCTATGTTGAAGAACGTAAAGCACTCATTTTAAGAGTGAGGGTTAGGATTGCTGTTCAGGTTTCATATATTTTAATAAAGGTTGCTTACCTTTTGGAAAGGTGTGGTGTCTCTGCCCCTTTACTCGGGTCAGCTTTTTTCTCACCATCTGCTTCTTGGTCCACCTTCTGTGAGATGATTCAAAATAAAAACAATAAAAAGCTATATAGAGAAAAGAGATTCAGCTTCAAAATGCTCTTCACTCTGAAGGTTAAATTTCTTCTAGTGCTACAGATAGTTCACGGTTTCTAACTATTCCCTGATATCCACAACAGTTTATTTACTAACCTTCAGCTTCCTGGCAGGTGGTGTTTTATCCTGAGAGGAGGACGATTGTGATGATCGTGACGACGAGTCTGATTTGGAGTCAGAATCTGATGAAGAACCTGAATCTTGGACCTCAGTCACCAGCTTCTTGTCTTCATCTGCTGTCTTCTGTTTCTTTTCCTGCTCCTCCTTTAGCCGTTTCTCCTCTCTTCTCTTCTCCTCCTCCTGTTGTTGTTTCTTCTCTTTTTCTCGTTCCTTCTCACGCTGTTTCCTCCCCTCCTCCATTCGTTTCCTCTCCTGTTCCTTCTCTTCTTCTAAGCGTTTCTTTTCTCTTTCCTGTTCTTCTTCCTTCCTTCTTTCTCTCTTCTGCTCCTGCTGTCTCTCCTTGTCCTCCCTCTCCTTCAGCTGCCTCTCTTCCTCCATCTTCCTGTCCTCTTGTTGCATCTTTGTCTCCCGTCCTGGCTGTGGGGATTCACTGGAAGACTCAGCAGTGGAGTGTGCAGTCTCTCCTGACACACCAGCCCCCTCTGACTCCATCTTGTGTACAAGCAGAGAAAGGGGCCCTGTCCCACGTTTCACGCGTGGTTCGGGACTGCTGGAACGAGAACTTGAGTCAGAATCTTGCCTCTGCACCTTGGAAGGTGGGAATGACACCACCCTTTGGCTGCGTCCAGCTTCTTCACGGTCATCTGGGTCTGGCGGGCTCTGCTTGGGAGTGTCAGGAAGGGGGAACAGATTAGGGGGTGGAGAGGGAGGAGGTGTGGGGTGGCGCAGTTGCATGGGGGTGTGGTGTACCTGTGGAGGTGGGATGTGCTGCGGAGGTTGAAGTTTGCGTTTGGATCTTCCAGCTGATGATGGGACGCTGGGTGGCATCTGCTGCGATGGGGCAGGTCCCCTGCTTCCCTTTCGGACCCCACCGGGACCAGGCCCCCAGTCCTCATCATCATCACTCTCATCATCACCATCATCACCTTCATCACTATCCTCATGGACATGGCTTGATGCTGAACCCCCAGCAGATCGGCTCAGGTGGAGCACAGAACGAGCCGATCCTGGTTCACTCGGTGCGGTGCCTTCCTTCTCCTGAGCTGGGGGTACTGCTGGGGGACAGTCGGGCTGTCCCAGAACGCGCACTGACAGGGAGGCGACTGCACGGGGAGGAGAGGGTGCTGGTGGCTCCTTGTGTCCTTGGTGAAAGGTGGCTCGCTGCATCCTAGCTCCTGGAGCGTCATGGGCCTCCTGGTGATGAAGGGTGGTGCCATGACCTGTCACTGAGTCTCCTGCCCCTCTCTCCTCAGGCCTGGCCAGAACCTGACGTGGCTGCGCACAGATAACTGAGTCAGTGGGAGACGAAACATGATGACTTAATTCTGCTGATGTATTTTTTAAAAAAATGAGTTTAATCAGATTAAATCTGTAATCATTAGAAAAAAATAGTTTATATCATGCAAAAAGCACCATGCTATTATTTTTGTTTTGGTACACAGAATGTTGACAAATGCGGAAAATCTGATTCTTCTGTACCTTTCTGCTCCACAGGATAAAAGCTTTGTTTTCCTCGAGGGTACTGACCTTGTCAGAGGCATAGGAGGAGCTGTCATTGTCCTCCGAGTGTTCTTCATCCTCCTCAGGTACAGCTGGGCTCTCTGAGAGACAGAAGCACGAGGCAGAGGTTAAAAGTCGACCCCGGTCTGAGAATTATACTCCCAGGACATGCCTACTGGATCTCACACAAGCAAAACTTTTCTAACAATAACTTGTAATGATTTCTTTTCCTCACACCGAAAAAGAGAAATAAAAACTTGAATCGTTTTTTAGAGAAATTCTGTCTTAATGGCTGTGAAATCAGAGATTAGAGTGTAGTTTTTCCCATAGTGTGAAATGCTCATTTGACAAGCCACTGTAGGTTTTACACATTTATTTAAATGTTATTTTTAATTTTTAAGCACATAAAGTTAGGTAAGCAAAGACGTTTGACCACCAGGGAGTTTTTGCGAGTCGTCTGAGCCAAAGGACGGGCCAAGTGTGTGTTTGTGGTCTGAATCTTTTACCATCAGCGTCTTGCCCCTGCTGGGCCTCTCTCTCCAGTCTCTGGCAAAGGAGCTCTTGCTGCTTGGCCAGGTACTGCTTTATGAAGCTGTTTTGGCACATCTCCTCTCCTATCTGTAACACAGCGTTTTTAAAACAATGTGACATTGTGTCAAAACATCACCAGACTACTGCAGATTTTAAAATCTCCTACCTGAGAGTTGGGCTGCAGCCCACTGTGAGAGGACGATGTCTTCTGTAGGTTCTCCAGCATCAGAGCCTGATGGTAAGGAGGAGGGGAGGGGAATTCATTTAAATGTTAACGTAATGCCAGAATGAATATTAAAGAAAACTGTAAACCAGATACTAGAATTCTGAGTCCTCTAATTATAACGCTTGTTATACCTGTTGACTTTTTGTATATTTAAATATCGCATATAGGTTTGCATTTTGTGCACAACATTAAAAAGGCAGACCTAAACCCAATAATAATACTAAATGTGCCTACAATGTAAGATACTTAATAAAAAAGGGCACTTTAAGAATTGTAAAAAGAATTAACATAAATGCATGTATATTAACTTAATAGTCTATTAATCACATGCAATAAATTTATGACTAAAAAGCATCGTCACTCCTGAGCCACTTTATTAGGTACACCTGTTTAATTACTCATTGTCACAAACATCTAATCAGCCAATCACAACTCAGAGCATTTAGGCTTGCAGATATGATAAAGACAACTTGCTGAAGTTTAAACTGAACATCAAATGGGAAAGAACGGCAATTTAAGCGATTTTGAACGTAGCATGGTTGTTCAAGCCAGATTTTCCCACACAATCATCTCTAAGGTTTACAGAGAACGGTGTGGAAAAGGCAAAATATCCCGTAAGCAGCAGCAATGCCTCGACAGCAGAGGTCAGAACGGTGCTTCAAGCTGACAGGAAGCCAATGATTCCCTCAAATAACCACTTGTTACAATTGAGGTATGTAGAAGAGCATCTTAAATGCACAATATATCTAACTTTGAAGCAGATGGACTACAGCAACAGAAGACCACACCAGGTGTCACTCCTGTTAGCTAAGAACAGGAAACTGAGGCTACAATTCACATGTCTTACACAATAGATGACCAGAAAAATGTTTCCTGGTCTTATTGGACTTGCTTTCTGTTCCATTATATGCAAGGTAGGGTCAGAATTTGCTGTAAACAACATGAAAGCATGGATCCATCCTGGCTTGTAACAATGTTTTCGACTGGTGGTGGAGGTGTAATGGTGTGCAGGATATTTTGTGACACACTTTGGGCTTTTTATTACCAGCTGACCATTGTTTAAACACTATAGCCTACCTGAATATTTTCACTGCTCGTGTCCATCCCTTTATGACCGCTGTTTAGCCATTGTGTGATGGCTGCTTCCACAGGGATAACACACCGTGTCCAAAAGGTCAAATCATCTCAATCCGGTTTCTTGAAAATGACACTGAGTGTACTGTACTTAAAATGACCTACACTCTCACCACATCTCAATCCAATAGAATAACTCTGGGATTTTGTGAAATGGGAGATTGCCATTATGGATGTGCAGCAGACAAATATGCAGCAACTGTGTGAACTTATCTTGTCAATATAGACCAAAATCCCAGAGTAATGTTTCCAGCACCTTGTTGAATCTTTGGCAAGAAGAATCAAGAAATTCAAAAATGAAGCCCAACCCAGTACTAGCGCTGTCTAACTAATGAAGCATACATGAGTCTCTCTTTATACATTCTCTATTGCCTAAATCCTAAAAGATCCAAGATGTTTGTTCGAAGTAAAGAGAAGACACTTTCCATCAGTGCTTTTTCTGTGCAAAGATAAACTCTGAATCCTGACTGAAGCGCTTCATATAAACACATTCATTCACCCTGTTGAAACCCCATCTGGCGTGTGGGGCTCAACAGGGTGCTAGTAAGGTGTACCTGATAAAGTAGTTAGTGAGTGTGTATTAAATTCTTTGACAAGAAAGGCACATAAAAAAAACTTTAGGCATCCTACACATCATTGTTTTGAATAATAATTTGAATATAGGTAAATCACAATAAAATTATTCTCCATCAACAAAGCCTTAAAGAGACTTTAAGAGCAACTCTATTGCTTTAATCTTATCAGCACCGTATTTTTTACTGTATGCATGCTGATATCAGTTTATTTTAATACTGTGCCGTTAACGCACGGTTTGAGTCAGATATGGGGAGTTTATATCGCAATCAAGAGGTGTTGCTTCACTATAATCTTATGATTAAAATAAATACATAAAGCAACGTATTATTTAAAAAAAAGACCAATCAATTGGTAACATATTTTTTAAATGTGACTTTAGCGAAGGAGATGATCCCGGTTTTTAACGGTGAAAACGGCGTTTACAAAAATATAAGTTGAAGAAAATTTGAATGAAATAGCTGTTGGTTATGCGCGGAATGTGTTTACATCACGAGGCGCGCCCCCCGTAACCCTAATACACACGCGCACGCACACGCAAGCACGGTGCGCGCGCGGGCACTGTCATGTACACTATGTGCGGCTGTTGGCTTGCTTACTCTCAGCTTAGGCCTGGACTTGACAGGTGCACAGTTCAACTGTGTGCAACACGGTGCTCTGCGAGTAGTTACGAATTAAGTCCGAACTCGGTAGCCGGGCCGTCGGGTTAAACTGTCAGTTACAACCAGTCGAAGAGGAAAACTGTTGTTTATGAGTAATAACGCGTGCACGGCGATTTATGTATTCCCGCTTCACAGCCCACACACATACACACATCGTTACGGCCTCTACTGTTAACCCCCCCACTGTCTCTCGCCTCCTGCTGAACTTGGCCAGACTCGGCACAGACGTCCGTAACGTGAGAGAAAACTTACCCCTTTGAGTCGCTTGATAAGTGTGTTCTTTTGTCCGCTTTTTGGGAGGTTTCTTTGCTCCAGAGCCGCTTTCAAATCGGCAACTCGGAGCGACTGAAGAGGTTTTCCATCAAGCGTAATATCTTCGTCCGCCATTTTGCTCCCTCCGCTTGTCTAAACTCCGTCGCTACGGCTGCCGCTCGGCGTCACAGCTCGGGAGTTTCCGGAAGCGCTCGGCTTGTCCGAACGATCCTCTTACCAAAATGTTTTTTTTGTATAAACACGACTAATATAGTAATATAACAACAAATAAAACAAACAATATTTTATTTGCAAAAAAATGTATTTGTGTTTTCTGAACAGGAATACAAGACAGACAACCAATGTAGTGTTAAAAATAAGGAGGATTAGGTCTGTTATTACTGTAGGAAAAGCATTCACTTCTATATGTCAGCAATATGCATAACAGATCATACTGAGTTCAAATAGTGTAAAAAAAACAAAAAAACCCCATCCAGTTACAAAAGAAAAGACAGCCATTTTTGAACTGTAACTCGGAAAAAAAAAGAAAAAGAAAAACTTTGTTCATTGCAAATCACCCAATCACATCACTCAGGTGAAGGATGTGCATATATATATGTATAAAGTATAAGCAAATTAAAGCCATGCAGATGGGGAAAGCAAAGGAACATAAACGTTGGCATACAATAAATATACAGCTAAAGGTTACTTGCCCATCATGCTCCCTTAACACACACACACACACACACACAGCCCATTTTAACAGGCTGCTAGTCATTGGAAAATACTTCAAACCTCCACAGGGTGGCACTGCAGCAAAGAAAATGTAAAAGCTGGAAACCAAGTCAACAATTTAAATCTGAAACATTAGAAAAAGAAAAAGTAGGGGGAAATAAAAGGGGGGGGGGGGGGGGGGGGGGCAAAGTAATATGATTGCCAGAAGAGAAGGTAGTGCTATATTCAAGTTTTATCCCCCTGGCTGTGTTCTCTCACAAACAAGATGTGTAGTGTGAATATGCTGACGTGTTGTCGCAGAGAGGAGCATAATACCAATTATGACTCACAGGCCGTGCTGTGCACCTGTCAGTATGAAAAGTGGAGTAGTGTTAGACACAAAACAGGTTTGTTTTCATGGATTGTAAAATACAAAGTGTCTCTTTTAAATTGAAAAGCAGACTATGCTTCATTCCACAGGCATAGGTTCACGATCACAATAAAGTCCCACAAACTGATGTAGAGTTAACCGTCGTCCCCGTCTTTGTTCCGTCATAATAATCACAACTGGTTTCTGATGTGCACTTCCACAATAAGATGGCTTCAAACTATCAAAGCGGACATAAATAAGAGGCGATGACAGGCAGTTTATGGGAAAATGATGCTGAAAAGCAAAAGTCAAAGAAGAGAAGTGATGCAAGTCATAACAAGACGTGTGAAGACAGGTGAACTCGGTCAACAGGTTTCGCATCCATTACCAAACCTGCCACATGACTGTGGGAAAGAATAGGATGAGGCAATTTATCACCCAGCTAACGTTGCTCAATCAAAAACCCCTTCATCGACCCACAGACATATTCTCCCTCTGTGACAAAAAAGCTTTTGTTTTTCTTCATAGAGATGTGAAACACGTGCAAACTGAAGAATGAGGAGATGTTTCTTGTTAAGTGGAAATGGGGCACTACACAAAACACGCAAACACTTGCACAGATTGAGAATAGAAGCTGGGAAAACTTCCAACATTTCTCCCAAATAAAGCCCCCCAAAAACACACACAACATGCTGCTTCTGCAGCTTCTGAATTGATAATCACAAAAGGCCCTTCAGGTATCACAGTAAGAAAAAAGGATGTAAAGTCTCCTCCTCTGGACTATTTCTGGAAATCGGGGGTGGCTGAATAAATAGAGGAAGGAAGGAAAAATGGCTATCGTGTGAGAGGTAGGGGGGGAGAAAAAAAAATATGGCAAGCACATTAAAGCAAAGCTCCCAAAATAGGAAGTCCACACGGACACTTAAACCACACAGGGGCTTCAAAATCTTCAATAAATTAACACTTAAAAAACTATTTTTGCCTGGCATCAAAGCACAGAGGTCAGTGGAGAAACAAAAGCAAACCAGCACGCGCTCAGGCGACACACGCAACACGGTGAAAACAGCTGGATAACAGCTGTGGCGAGGAACAAACGCCTCGCCGCAGGATTCGGCTTCGCTTCCTTCCATCCCATTCAAGCACAGGGGTAATGAACGAGTGTAACAACAAATAAGGCATTTCAGAGAGGAGGAAATAGATGTGTAGTGTAGACAAAGTTGTTTGTTTTAACGTAAGCACTAAGAAACATCATGAAGATATTTCTGCCAGACGCTGCAGCAGAGTGGAGAAGCCGGCCGCCTGCTGGGAGAGCTCTGCGACACGGTCCACCATCTCCTGGGTGGCAGATACTGATGGATAGTTCTGTGCAGCACCCTTTGTTGCCACCACGACTGCCTTCAAAGCTTGGCAGAGCCGTCCCCCCGAGGTAGTGATCTGATGGGGGAAAAAAATATTAAAGATATTACACCGCTATGAAATGCTGGATCTAAACATCATGCCAACTTTTCCACATACTTTGGCCCGGAGGTCAGCAGACGTGAGAAGACGGGAGAGCGTGTCCCCGATGAATACCAGCTTGTGCGCAGTTACAATGAGGCTCTTTCCTCTGGCGACGAAGATTCGAGGAGGTTGGTTTCCCTTCACGCTGCTGAAGAGCACATCGACGGCATCCGCCAGGCAGGAGAGGTGGGCGAGGCTTTGAGAGGAGTAGAAGGAGAGCAGCTCTGAGTCCTCCAGGGAGAGGGACACTGGCAGAGGAGGGGAGGGGGTCAACTGAAAAAGATGAGAAAGGAAAATGAAAATCTGCACAAGAAACGTAGGAAAGTAGCCAGAAGGTTTCTAATCTGAATTAAGGAGAATGAAAACAAGACTTTCAGATACATAAACAGCAAACTGAAAGAAGTCCTGAGAAATTAAAATAAAAAACACAACGCACATATTTACAGCACTGTGCAAATCTCATTATTTCTTAGGATAGTGCATGGAAAATGGGAGCAGCGATTTATTAAAACACGTGGAAACATACATAAAAATATAGTATATAAGGCAAAAACAGAGGTGGTACAAGCTAGAAAGCTAATATTTGGTATGACTGCCTTTATTCTTCACAATCTGAACTCTCTTTTGCAATCCTTGGTGTCATTTCTTCAAGTAGTCTTTGGTTCTCTTCTCTGTCAAGATGGTCCCACTGCTTCAATAATGTTCAGGGTCCAGGCTCTGCCACTCCATTGGCTGTGTTTTTGGGATCACTGTCATGCCGAAAAACGAAGATGCTGCCAGTGTGAGATGTTCTTAAATGGATCATAATCTGATGTTCATGATGACCTGCGTTCATAATTCAACCAATTTTGACAAGATCTCAAACAACACTGGCTCAAATACAGCTCCAAACCATGACAGAGCCTCCTCCGTGTCTTACAGATGCCTGTGGACACTCACTTCTGATGAGGCTTCAGTGAACAGCAGATGGATCAACTGAAGCATCTCTCAGCTCCTGTGCAGGGTCTTTGTTGGATTTTTTCCCCATGTATTACAAAGAACATGAAACTGTTCATCGGCTGTAGATAATTTTTGGGGGACATTTCTTTTGTCCTCCACTTGTTCCGTCTCTTCAAAAAAAATTTAAGGACACATTTCACAAAATGCTGAGAAAAGTTCCATATTCTGCTAATTGCTCTTTGGGAATCACCTAACTGATGCAAAAATACAATTTTATGCCTGTAACTGTGTCATCTTTGTTATATAGTCAATAACAAATGACGTTTTATTCTGGCTCAATCAAAAATTCAGTGCAACAGCCTCCACTTTCCATCCTAGAAACACGTTACAAAAAATTGCTTCGGTCTCTCAGTTTTATAACATGTTGGTTGAGAAGCACAGAGGCACCTCAGACAATAAGCGACAGGAGTGAATACAAGAGTTAGAAGATATTTCACCCATTGAGTGGAGTAAAATATGTTTAAAGACACACACCCAAACCATCAACACCCGATTGAGACTTTAACTGGATAATGCGAACAAATGTCTCCCCTGCAAATAAATAAATTTGATCCTAATATACTGGACAAATGTTGTAAGTGTACCAATCACCAAGCTTCATTGTATCACTGTTTGTGGAAGTGTAAAAAGTTTTGGTGCTCAGTGTTAAAATGCATTTCTCGGGTCCCATGTTTCCCTGTTCTGTTAAGTCCTGTGTTCTGTATTTTAAGCATTTATCCAGATGACTGTAATTTATCTCGTACAGAGAGAAAGACAGTTTACCTTTGCTTACTCCAGGCCAAACGTTGTGTTGCAGTATGCTGGGAGAATGTTGATAGCCCCTCTTTTGACCAATGGTTAAACAATGTAACATCGAGTTTAGTTTGTTTAGGGAAGTTGAGGAAGTGGAGAGAGAGTGAGGTAATGAAAAATACATAACTAAATTTGGGAATATGCAAAATCCAATAAATATATGTTTAAAAAAAATGGGATCAAATGATGTGTTGTTGCAGCAGGCTGCTACTAACAAAGTGCCTAAAGATACCACTTAATATTGGTTATTTGCTAAATTATGATGTGTAGACAGAACTCTGGTTCAACACTTGAATTAGGTGCTTTTTACGATTGCATGATTCATACATCTGAAAATGGTCAGGTAGGAGGGCTGGACTGAAAATGAGTGAAAAAGCAGCCAAAGAAAAACTTTAAGGGAGCTTCAGAAAGACTGGAGAAGTATTGCTCAAGACCACATTAAATAATCACAATAGAGTCAGATATAAAGAAATGAAAGGTGGCTCAAGACTTTTGCAAAGTATTCTATATTATTTTTTAACCTTAGCAATAATCTGCAACCATGTCTTGACTAATCATTTAGTCCACAAAGTGTAAAAGAGGCTGAGAAACCACCTGCAATAAACGTCTTAGAGTCCAAATGGCTCCTTCTGATTTATTTCTTTCCTAACTGAGCTCCAAAATACCAAAACAGACTGTCACAGGACTGCGTCCTAAAGCCCAGAAATTCCTTCATCTCAAAGCTTAAGACATTTTCACATTTTATTAACACCCCACTTACAAATCGTGTGCCAGAGA